ATGTAGAGTACGTCGCACAGTCGGGTTCCCCAACGAGAGGGGGGCATATTCTCGTCGCTGAAGGGAGGGAATTATTTGTGAAAAACGTTTTCGGTCGCTGACTTGACTTTTCTCGATTTTTTCCGTTTCATGCGCAAAAAATTCAAGGCAACCATTTGGGGGAGGCATCGCACAGCCCACCAATTCTGGACGAGATAGCACAGTAGGAAGAAAAGATACATTTCTTCACGGTAAGAAAACAATACCAACTAGGCTCAATGAGTAGAGTTCATGGTTGTAAGTTTGTTATTTTATTTGCCACGCCCTCTTGAAGACAAGTTCAGTAACCCTTGTTGTTGTCCCTATCGCTAATTTAAGGGGTCCCGAAAGGAAAATCACTAGAGCGTCCTTTCACAAGTTCCCAAGCTTTTATCAAATTATGGATTCTAGACAAGATCACTCACCTTCGGAAGGTTTTGGAGTTTCAGTCTGAGGGCACGTTACTCGCTGAATAGCACTTCGAAGTCTAGTGTTAAGATCCTCGAAAGCGTTCACGTGGAATGTCCTGTCTTTCGCACCAGTGATCTGAGAAAATACGACATTTTTCGGGCATAATCCACAGTTTCTTGCATTTGGCATGAGGGACATCTACGGAACTAGGGGTATGATAGTTAGGCCGTCCTCCGAGAATCGGAACTCGAACGGACCGGAAACTCGGAAATCGGAACTCTTGGCTGAGTTCGCCGAAAGGCTCGCGTAGCAGCTCAGCAACCTTCTAGGTAATAGCTGAAGTTGCCTACCTCTTCTAACTCAGCTTGCAGCACGTGGTTTGTGACACCAACAGCGAACAGCTGAATGTTCTGTCGACGGGCGTTATTCGCAGCCACCGTCACGTTGTCCTAAAGAAAAATGATAGCATATGTCAAATCACTTAGCCCCTAATATTGTAGTTTTTAGGAATAAAGACTAATTCCTAGTTGCGTTAGGATTCGGATCATTAAGAACACATTCCGCGATCAACGGATGGCAGAAAAATAGAGGCCGAGATTTGTGACCCTTGTACCTTCCTTAATGGTGCTTTCGGGTGCAGTGAACACAAGAGAAGCCTTTATGAAGAAGTCACACTTGTTCTCAATCCCCGCCCACCGGACCATCGCGGAATGCGTCCCTAGGTTTTACAATTTTCTGAGCAGAGCGGCTCTGCTCGAAATCGGGCTTGCAGCGGCACGGTCTTGTTATCAAGCGGAGCTGAAACTAGCGAAGCACTTGTGAAACACGCCAGTCGGACGATTAGTTTAGCCCTTTGAGACTTACGACCTTGAGTGCTAATGTAGCATGGGTCCGCAGTTGAATAGCAAGCAGATTTTCACCTAAGTTTTGGAATGGCAAAACAGCCCCAGGGCATGCC